ACCGCTGACCTGCTGATCTAGCAGTAGCCTGCAGTGCTGCATTTAACCACTGCGCCACCTTGGCTCTTAACCTTTGCAAATTAGGGCAAAGTGTTTCTCAGGCTCATGCAAATTGCTTTCTGAATATTGACAGCTGTCAATCTGCTGGAAAGCAATGCTTCCACCCCTCTTGTGCCCAAAAATTGTGAATAGGTTAGTTGTGTCTTCTCAAAACAAAACTTTGTGGCGCCAGAACTTTCCATCCCGGAATCAGGTGTCCTTGTCATCCGGTTTTGGCCTAGCGAAGTTCCAACGGCTCTGGGAAAAAAACAGATCATTTTTCACACTTTGTCACATCTCCAAGGTCACGTGATCAAAATTTGGACGCTTTGACATCTGCCTCATATTTATGACCGTTGCAGCGTCCCAGGTCACCTGATCCCTCTTTGTGATCTGGCGAGCAAAGTGAACGGGATTCATATACCAACTGGGATACTCAACAACAGCAGTGATTCACCTTAACTGCGACTGGAAAGGTTGTAAAATAGGGCAAAGTTCACTTCACAAATGTCTCGCTCAGTGACATAAATTTTGAGCTCAGTTGCAGTCAAGGACCCCCGGTGGAAATTGAACAATGGCAGCAATTCCCTGAATAACAATGGCCAGAAAGGTGGTACATCAGGGCAAAACCCATGTCATAACTGCCTTGCTTAGCGATGGAAATTTGGGCCTCGGTTGTGGTCGTAAGTCGAGGATTTCCTGAAATCAGTGCCTAAATAGCAGGCATGTGGGTGCTTCAGAATAACAGGGTTAGAGGGACCTTGGAGGTCTTCTAGTCCAACTCTTCTCAAGTAGGAGACCCTTACAGGATTGCAGAATATCAGAGGTAGAAGGGACCTTGGAAGTCATCTAGTCCAGCCCCCTGTTAGAACAGGAAGGGGCCTTGGTGGTCATCAGTCCCCCTGCTCCACCTCTACCATTTCAACCCAATCTATTCTTAAAAGCCTCCCGTGTTGAAAAACCCACATCTCCTTGTGGCAAGCTGTTCCACTAGTTAGTCGTTCTCCCTGTTGGGAAACTTCTCTTTATTTCTAGCTTAGTTCAATTAAAGTCCTTTAAAAAAAAAAAGTAATCCTTGTCTTTCTCCATTCCAAGGAATTGCTTGCTGGGATTTTGGGCAGGAAAAAAAATGGGAATAAGGTCAAGGACGTTGGCAAGGTGATTTTTTTCTTTTAAAGGTTTGCAAAATCACTTTGCAAAGAGGTGAAATCACATGAGCCACAAGACATAAAAGGAGGGATTTTCAGAACATTCTTACACAATGATGCAACAGCTCTTTGCTCACAACCGGCTGGGAGAGAGTCTGATGAAATTAGTGGTAGAAATGTTGCCAGGAAGTGAAGTCACGAATTTGGGACAAGGAAGTGCCTTATTATCCAGACCAGCCGTGTGGAGAGAAATAGATTTGTATTCCTTTTGTGTGTGTGTGTGTGTGTGTTTCTGACTGACAGGGACTTTATACATTGACTTCATTGCATTTGCTGCTTTTGGTCAACTCAGTTTTAACCATAATTGAGCAGGAGTTAGACTAGATGACCTCCAAGTTCCCTTCCAACTCTGTTATTCTATGATTATGTCAGGGTCTCCTTGAGTGGGAGGGAGTCAGACTAGGTCATCTCCAACTCTTGTCCTATCATCCTGTAAGGGCCTCCTACTTGAGCAGAGGGTTGGGCTAGATCACCTCCCAAGGTCCCTTCCAATTCTTCTGTTATATTTATTACATTTATATGCTGCCCATTTTGGTGTCTGGTGTGACTAGAGAACTTATATATATGTATAGTAATATATTTATTTACTGGTGTGTGTATGTATACATGCATGTTTGCATATGTATGTGTATATGTGTATGGATATATGTGTGTGTGCCTGCATACATACATACATACATACATACATACATACATACATACATACAATGATTCCCTTTATCAATCGTGTCGTTAAAATAGGGCAAAATTCACTTAAGCAACTTCTCCCTCAAAAACATAAACATTGAGCTCCATTCTGGTCATAAATCAAGGACTACCATAAGGACGTTGTGACAACTCGTAATTACGAGGACTGTCGGCAATTTAACTTTGGTCACTAAATGGACCGCTGTAAGTCGACGACCTCCTGTATTTTCCAAAGTCTGCTTTTTTTCTCCCCTCTTTCCAACGTAACCTTCCTTCCATCCATCCATTTCTGTTTCCTTACAGTGACCATGGCATCCACCTCAGAAAAAGTCTTCCCAACTTATGATGAAACAGCGGGTTCAAAACTGCTGCGAAAGTCGAAGGAAATGCCCTTCGTCCCCCTGGGTAGGTGCCTCTCTTGGGCTTCGCTGTCCGCCGGCCGGTATCTCTTGAGTCCGTCCCGTTTCGCCAACGGCGTCTTTGGTGAATTCCGACAGTTGCTCGAGATCTGAACAATGGGTTCGAATTCACCCAGCGGGGGGATGAAATCAGAATTTCTCCACCTGGACTCCCAACAAGCAGAATTCCCCACATCTTCCAACTGCCCATCTTGAGAATGCCTTCTCTATACAGGTAATCCTCGACTTAACGACCGCAATGGGAAATAGACCTTTTTTTTTCTTCCCAGTCGTTAAGTGTTGGATTTCGCGACTTTTTTTGCAAGAGTCCTTAAGCACAGTCCCGAAATGAATCCAGTTGCCAAGCCTGCAAAATCTTGATTGTATGTCGCCGAGAAGGCGATAGTGGTCATAAAGTGCGAGCACTGGTCGTAGGTCATTGTTTCCGGGCCTTTCCAAGTTGAGGACTTACCTGTATTTCAAAAGGCATTTGTGGGATTGAGGGGTGGGTGTGATTGTGGGTTCATGCGGTCGGGAGGAAAGTCACGAGACTCACAAAATCTTTTTCCATAAGCCTAGGCCACGGGTCTGGAACCCATGGTATCACGTTGATATCATGTGACCTTCCCCCCCCCTTTTTTCCCCCCCTTTTTGCCTTTCTGGAGCTGGGTGTGGGCTCATGTGACACATCTGGCCTGCGGGACGTCAGTTTGACACCTGCGGCCTAGGGCCCTGGTGGTGAATTATGGCACATATTTGCTGTCACGGCAGTTATCAGCTCTGGCGCGCATGTGTACAGCTGGTTTTCAGCCTTCTGGAGGGCTGGAGGAGGTCATTTTCGCCCTCCCCAGTCTCCGGAGGCTTCCCTGAAGCCTTGGGAGGGCGAAAAACAGCTCCAACTGGACGTTCTGAAACAATCCGTTTCCGGCTTCTGGGGGAGGCCGTTTTTGCCCTCCCTGGGTTTCAGGAAAGCCTCTGGAGCCTGGGGAGGTCACGCATGCATGCGCAGGTGGGCAGGGAGGATTGAATTGGTGTGGGCACGCATACGTGCACAATAGCACATGCGCAAACAATCTTGGCCCACCATAAGAGAAAGGTTTGCCGTCCCTGCCTAGGCTGTCTGCGGGTTCCTCCTCCTCTTCGAACACATCACTCAGTTGTAGCACTGATGCTGTTACCTACTTGGATTATGAAACGTCTGTGAGAAAACCTCCCAGCTCAGAGAGCACCAGGGACCCCACAATCCTTCCTTCCTCTCTCTCATTCTGCTGTCTTCCCTTCATCCCTCACTTTCTTTCTTTTGTTCTTTCCTTCATTCCATTGTTCAATTCCTTCCACTTCCTCTCTCTCCACTTCCTTCTTTCCTTGGTCCTTTCCTTCCTCCTCCTTCCCCTCCTTTCAGGGACAGCGTTGCGGGGCGCAACACTGGGGACCCCAGACCCACTGAAGCCTTGGCGGTTTTCCCCCTACTTTTCTCTGGTCTCGCGTTCCTTCCTTCCCACCCTCCCTTCTCAACTAATTCCTGGGACCCCTGAAATCTTGACAGTTCTTCCACTGCCTTTCTCGGGACTAGTCTTCCTCCCTCTCTCCACAAAAGCCCACTCCCCTAACCCTGAAGATATTACCTAGCTGGGTCATGAAAAGTCTGCAAGAAAACCACCCAGCTCGGAGAGCACCCGTAGTCCTCCTCCTCCTCCTCCTCTCTCGTCCCACCCCAAACCCGCTGACCCATTCTTCCTCTGCCTTCCCCAGGTCTGGCGGGTTGTCTCAGTCTGGCCGCCTTCGGCATCTACCGGTTGAAGAACCGAGGAGAGACCAAAATGTCCATCCACTTGATCCACACGCGGATGGCTGCCCAGGGCTTTGTGGTGGGGAGCATCGTTTGCGGTAAGTTGGAAGGGACCTTGGAGGTCCAAACCCCCTGCTCAGGCTCGACAATTCCAGACAAACGTCTCTCCAACCTCCTCTTTCAAAAGCTCCAGGGATGGAGCCACCCACAAGTTCTGGTGGCAAGGAGTTCCAGTGGTTAATAGTTCTCACCGTGACATTTCTCCTTAATTCCAGGTTGCTTTGCTCCTTAGTTTTCCTTTATTGCTTCTAGTCCTCCTTTTCTGGTGCCTTGGATAATATAGCTTGACTGCCTCTTCTTTGTGGGCAACCCCTGAGATATTGGAAGACTGCTATCATGTCTCCCCTAGTCCTTCTTTGCATTAAACTAAACATACCCAGTTCCTGCAACCGTTCTTCATATGTTTTAGCCTCCAGTCCCCTAATCCTCTTTCTTGCTCTTCTCAGCAGTTTTTCTAAGAGTCTCCACATCTTTTCTACATTGTGGAGACCAAAACTGAACACAGGATTCCAAGTGTGGCCTTACCAAGGCATTATAAAGTGGTATTAACATTTCACATGATCTTGATTCTATCCCTCTGTTGATGCAGCCTAGAA